GCACGGCCCCAAGCCCCGCTGCTCCAGAACCTCTTCCCCGTTTCCTTTGCTCACTTCGCTCGGAGCGGCCGCAGGATCGGGAGATGTGCCCGCCTCTGCCTTAAAATATCCCAAAATCCACCCATGGGAAGGGAAGGGACAAGCGCCAGGAGCGGCCGCGGCAGCGCTGGGAGCCGGGTACGGGCCAGGAGAGACCAGATTTGGGGAGAGAGCAGAGGGAAAAGCCTCAGCAAGGGGTTTGGGGGCACAAATCCTCTCCTCACGGAGCTTTGGAGTCGTTGGAAGGATCCCAGGAGGGTTTGGGATGGAGGGAACCCTAAGGTTCTCCTCCTGCCATGGTTGGGGACATCTCCCACCATCACAGGCTGCTCCAGCCTGGCCTTGGACACTCCCAGGGATGAGGCAGCCTCAGATTTTCTCCCCTTTCCGTGCAGGAAGATCCCAAAATGCCACAGGAGAGGTGTCAAAGCTCCTGGCTGTGGCACTGCCAGGCTGTCCCTGCTCCCAGGGGACAATCTGCAGGATGGGATAAATCCAGGGTCACTCTGGGACCATCCCGCTCCAGGGATGCTGCTGGAGAGCCAAACCTCACCTGCCTTGGAAACTTCAATTTATTCCTTCTGGATTTAACCATTTCCAAAGCCCCAACACACCTGGAAAAGCCTTGGCGTCGCTGGAGGTTTGGAAATGGTTAAGTCCAGAAGGAATAAATTGAAGTTTCCAAGGCAGGTGAGGTTTGGCTCTCCAGCTCCATCCCCTGGGGACGCCACAGCAGCTCTCACCTCACCTGGGGACCTCTGCCCTTCCTCCCAAGGCAGCCCCGGGATTTCAATCGCGTCCGGAGCTGCTGCCGGTGCCAAAATCCGCCATTAAATCAGCATTTTCCGACCTCTCCGTTTATATCCCCGCGCCCTTTACCCGTTTGGAAGCGGCAGGAGGGAGCGGTTTAAAGGCATCCGAGAGCAATTCTTAAATTAACGATTTGCAAATGGCTTAATTGAGGTCCTGGTCTGGCTCTCTGCAGCGGAGAGGTTCTGAATCATTGCTATTTGTTGGGTTTTATTGTGAATTTCAGACCCTGGGCTCCGATAAAAGCTTTAAAACCTCGCCTAGGGCTGGGAGTTGCGGCTTAAACTGGGCCGGGAGTTGTGGTTTAAACTGGACACGGGCAGGTGGGGGTGAGGAAACGAGAATTGGGGGAAAAATAGGAGAGGGAAGAAGAAAATGAGGGAGTTGGGGGATGCTCACAGCACTCCTGGGGAATTTCTGTGGCTTTGTGTAAAGATTTTGCACTGATAAAAATAAAATTTGGGGTGTTTGGAGGGAGGGGAGGCTCAGCCCTGTGGTTTGGGATGAGGGATCCCTGCTGAGAGTGGGGATTTGGGGTTTTAGGGATGAAACAGGAGTTTGGACAGGGCTTGGAGCGGCTGGGATGGTGGAAGGCTGCCCTGTCCATGGCAGGGGTGGGAATGTGTGGGCTTGGGGGTCCCTTCCAGCCCAAACCCTTCTGGGATTGAAGAACTTTACAGAGCCAGGGATCACAGATGGAGAAAGGGACTCGGGAGGGGATTTTGGGTGGGGAGGGGCGGGGATGGAATTCCCAGAGGAGCTGTGGGTGCTCCTGGATCCCTGGGAGTGTCCAAGGCCAGGCTGGACATTGCGGCTTGGAGCACCTGGGATGGTGGGAGATGGCCGTGCCTGGTGGGATTGAAGGTCCTCCCAGCCTAAACTGTTCCCTGATCCCACAAAGACCCCATAAAGATCCCAGAAAGAGCCCATAAAGATTTCATTCCCCACCAACAGATCCCGGGTACGGGACTGAGCCTTTTGGTTTTGCACCTTTCCCAAAATTCATCTCCCGGCAGGGCAGGAGAGGTGGAGGCACCTGGAGGGGATGGAAAGGACAGGGAAATGCTGGAAGGAACTGGAAAGAGGCACCAGGAGGGGCTGGAGAGCATCGGAAGGGATGGAAGAGATTGGGAAGGGATGGAAGGAACCGGGAAGTGATGGAAGGAACCGGAGGGGTTGGATGGAACCAGGAACAGCTGGAAGGCTCTGAGAAGGGCTGGAAGGCTCCGGGAGAGGATGGAAAGCACCATGAAGGGTTGGAAGGCTCCATGAACGGCTGGAAGGCTCTGGGAAGGGCTGGAAAGCACCAGGAAGCTTCCAGGAATGGCTGGAAGGCTCTGAGAAGGCTGAAAGGCTCCGGGAGAGGATGGAAGGAACTGGGAACGGCTGGAAGGCTCCAGTAAGGGCTGGAAGCCCTCTCAGGCAACCAAGGCCGCTCCTGTCTGCTCCAACTCCTCTGCCGGCGGGGGCTCTAATTGCGGCACATCAGACGGTAATTATAGGTGCAGTAATTATAGGTACAGCTCTGACGACGCTGCAGCCGTCAGGCGGCTCTGGCAGGAGCAGCCGCGGGGAGCCGGGGCCGCATCCTCTCCCCCCGCTCCCGGCTCTATTTTGGGGAGCTCTCGGCGCTGCCCCGGCCCCCGGACACCTGCTCATCCCCCAGGGCGAGCGCCGGCCCCAGCCCACTCTCCCTGATGGAAAAGCAGCTCCAGGCCACGGATCCCAGGGAATTTCCACCGGGAATTGCTTCCACCGGGGGATTTTTACCGGGAAATTAATTTCACTGCACCCCGAGTTTCTCCTGGGGTGGATCACCTGTGGATGCACCCCGGAATTCCCAGGGGGAAGCGTCTGGAGCTTCTGCAGCGAGGGTGGCCAGGTGGCAACCGGGGCCAGGGGCCAGGAGCCAGCGAGGGAACGGGAAGCTCAGACAGCTCCAGGGAGGAGGAGGAGGAGGGTGAGGAGGATGGGGAGAAGGAGGAGGAAGAGGAGAATGAGGATAAGGAGGATGAGGATGTGAGGATAAGGAGGAGGATGAGGAGAATGCACAGGATGAGGAGGATGAGAATGAGGAGGATGAGGAGAAGGAGGATGAGAACAGGGTGGATGAGGATGAGAAGGATGAGGAGGATGAAGATGCCACTGGTTGCGCTCCAATTTTACAAGGAGGGGAGGAAAAAGCCCCTGGGGAAGGAGCAATAATTGGATAATTGTAATTAAAAGGCAAACGGTGGCGGGCAGTGGGGACCGGGGGATTTCCCTGTCCCACTGGGAGGAGGACAAACTTCCTCTGTCCCACGAGTTTGGGAACAACCCTTCCTTGTCCCACCGGGTTGGAGACACCCCTTCTGTGTCCCACTGGGATGGTTACAAACTTCCTCTGTCCCACGGGGTTGGGGACAATATTTTACTTTCTCCCAGTGGGATGGGGACAAACCTTCCCCTGTCCCAGGATGGTGGGGACAATCCCTTCCCCTGTCCCACAGGGTTGGGAACAATTCCTTCCCCTGTCCCACTGGGATGGGGACAACCTGTCTCTATGGGGTGGGGACACTTTCCCCTGTCCCACGGGTCCCTTCCCCTGTCCCCTGCTCTGGGACACCTGTGGCCTCCACCCCTTCCCCTGGGAAGCTATGAGCATTCCCACCATTCCCACAGAGAATTCCCGGCTCATCCCACGCCAGCCTCCTCCTGTCACCTTCAGCAGGACTTTGGTGACAAAACCCGGGGACTTTTGGGGACAAAAGCCACCTCCACCCCCTCCCTGGCTGCTCCACGGTTTTTCCGGGCTGGATGAAAGTGGCGCCGGTTTCCTCCAGGTGTTCGCAACCCTTGGGAAGGGTCAGGAGGTGCTTTAGGGCCGGGAGACAAAATTCATTAATGTCCCCATTAGTGGTGGCCTCGCTGGCGCTGTCACCTCCGCCAGGACGCGGCGGCGCTTTCATCCCCCCAGACAGAGGCGGAAAAGCAGACGGGAGGCAGGGAAGATGTTCCAAAGGGTCGGGAAAATGTGGTTTTTTTCCATAATTCTCGCTCCTGATCCCACATCAACATCCTTCGGGATGTCACCCTGGTGCTCGTGACTCAGGAGGTGTCACCAAGGGTTTGTGGGCCCTGGTTCAGGACTGGTGGGGAAAGATGGGTCGGGAGGGGCCTTCCTGTTTGGAAAAGATTCCCCAAATCCCACAGATCCTACAAATTCTCTGCTGTGCTTCCTTGTGCTGCTGTGCTTCCTCCAGGAGCTGCCTGAGCCATTCAACCACTGGATCCCTTAGGATTGCACTGAATCCCAAAAACCCATCTCCACTGAATCCCAAAGAATCACCACTGAGTCCCAAAAAAGTCACCACTGAATCCCAAAGACCCATCATCACTCAATCCCCCCAAAAATCATGATTGAATCCCCCAAAACACTACAGTTGAGTCCCAAACAAGCAGCATCACTGAATTCCAAAATAAATCACTGTTGAATCCCAAAAATGTAGCCAGTGAATCCCAAAAAGTCATCACCATTGAATTCCAAAAAACCATCACCACTGAATCCCAAAAACAATCCCAAAAATAATAAAAAAGGCAGAGCACCAAGGATCCTTTTAGGATCACCAGGACCCCTCCAGGAACACCAGGAATCCTTTTAGCAACACCCAAAATCTCTCCAGGATCACCAGGGATCCTTCCAGGAGCACCAAGGATCCTCCAGGACCATAAAACTCCACAAATCCATCCTGTCCTCCATCAAAAGTTTGGGAAGCGACGCCTCGACCACGGATATCAACCAAAATCCAGGCAGGAACCTCCTAAAAACATCCCAAAATCTGGGCACGACATTCTAAAACATCCCAAAAATGAGTGGGACCCTTTAAAACGTCCCAAAATTGGGGCTCTGGGTGCTACCCTCACCCACCACGGGCCCGGCTGCTGGGAGAGGGGCAGGGAAACAGTGAAAATCATGGAATTGTGGGAAATCCAGGGAAAAGGGGAGGACGCTGTCGGCCCCCGGTACTGACCTGGAGACTTTAAACAAAGGGAACACAGTCCTGGCTTCTTCCCGCCCGCAATTCCATGGAGCCCTGGGTAGGGACAGTAAAGGAGGAGATTCATGAATTTGGGAAATTCCAGCTGGGAATTTTTTATTATTGTTTT